TCCCCCCCCCGGCCAGACAGTTACTCCCCGCCCCCTCATGCACCCTCCCCCCAGCCCGACACCTACCCCCAGAGAGAGGTGGTTGATGAGCATAATGAGCAGGGGGCACAGCCCCCCAGTTTGTTCCTTATTTTAAATCATTTATTGTATAAGTTTGGAAAATAATGTTTTTGCTCCCTTTTGTATGCATGCACCTTTTGGAATCAGGGTTTCCAAAGGGATTACTTATATTTCTGAATCCAAAATTTGCTGTTTCTGTAAGCACACCTACCAATAGCTGCATTTGCTAGAACATTCAGAGACAGCAAATGCAAAGATAAGCTCAGCCAAAATGAACTGGTTTGAACAATTGAGAAAAAGGATCACAAAAATTGTCTACAAGATTCAAGCAGTTTTAACTGTGAAGAGTCTTAATGACAATGCCGGTCTACTGCCACTTAGACCTTGTAGAATAATTTCTACCTTCTGGCCCTGGATGTTGTACATGCAACATTTGAATCTACCACTTCAGAATTACAACTGCACAACTAATCCTTGTTCATCTGGGTTTGTTTAAATTCAGTCAACCTATTTTGTAATATGGAAACCATTACAGAACCAATGGATTTTTTTTGTTATAATCCAGTTAACATAAGAACAGCCATACTGGGTCACACCAACGGTCTATCCAGTCCAGTGTCCTGTCTGCAGACAGTGGTCAATACCAGATGCCCCAGAGTCAGGGAACACAACAGGTAATCCTCACGTGATCCCTACTCTGTCACCCAACTCCAGAGAAACTTATTTGCAGGGACAGACAAATATTCTCTATTTACTATGTAGCTATTATTTGTCTTTTCCTGCCTTACTTCTCTTTCTCCACTTCAAGAGTCAGTCTTGGGGTCCTCATGGTGTCCTCAGTCACCTATTGATTTCCTCTCCTGCACTCTATTTCATCACAGTGAAAAATGTAATACTGAGCATTCTATTGATATCACAACCTTATTTCTATTGTGCTATATCCTGTTATCCTTACTTGGTTTCAGTCCTTACTCAGGGGAAGTTTTAGAGAAGTCAGCAGGAGTTTGCCAGAGGAAAAAGCTGTTAACCCCTGAGTAAGAACTGCATAATGTCTTTTGGAGTTAGTCCTTATACACCAGGGGTGGCAATAATTTGTGACAGGGGGCCACTCCAAGATTTTGGAAAGTGGTCAAGGGCTGCACTGTTCCATGATATTAATGGAGGAGATGCGGAGTCTGAGATGGAGGTGGGGTGCAGAAGGGAACTTAGGGTAAGGGACTGGGGTGCAAGAGGGAGAGTGGGGTCTGAGAGGGAGTTAGTATGAAGGAGGCAGCTGTGACCTAGGGCAGGGGTGCAAGCTTTTGGAATGTGATCTGAGACCTGGCTGCAGGGGTTTGGTTTGTGACCGAGGGCAGGGAACGGGGGTACAGGAGTTTGGGTTGTGACTTAGGGTAGGAGGGGATTGTGATCTGGGCAGGGGATTGGGGTGCCAGATCTGGCAGGGGGTATGGGTGCAGAAGGGCAGCAGAGCATTTGGGTATATTGAGTGGGGGGCAGAGGTATGGGGAAGGGAAGGGCTGGGGTGCCAGATGCAGGCTCTGGCCAGGAGACTTACCAGCCAGTAGCCCAACCAGCCTGCCTGCCTAGCTAAGTGCTTGCAGAATTTAAAATGTTTCTCAGTCTGCCTGCCCGCCCCACGCCTGCACAGGCTGCAGGGCCATATACTTGAGTGAATAACTGAACTGAAGAGGAGGGGTGTGTGGTGTTTTGTGTGCTCCCTGTTATTCAAATAGGCAGCTCCCATTGGCCAGTTTCTAGCTAGAAACTGGCCAATGGGATTGTGCTGGGGGTGGGAGCAGTGCTTGAAGCCTTCCCCCTCTTCCCTGTGGGATCACAGTTTTGAAAGAGAAACTTCCCCACAGACACTTTTCTGAAGTGGTGTGCAGGCTGTGGGGCAAGCAGGGAGCCCTTCTGGGGCTTCCAGCTGCCTCTGCAGGCCAGATCCGGTGGCTTGAAAGGCTGGATCCAGCCCACGGGATGTATTTTGCCCAGGCCTGTTATACACCATAGGAAAATGTGAGGCTGCATGGGGGCTAGGAGTGGGTCAAGAGTCCATCTAGTTCATCCCTTTTGTGTGAAAGGGATAGTTCAGTTCAGGGTTACAAAATCCTTCTACTGCTTTTTATGAGACTCTCTATATCAAACCGCTTTTTTAAAAACTCTTTCAGCAAGCTCAGAATGCAAGGCTGATGTCATTCCCTGTTCAGAAGCAGTCAAGTACTGAAACAGCAGTGAGCGAGGCAGGTCAAGCTTAAGAATACTTGGCAGAGACGTAGCGTGTGCGCGTAAGGAGGCAGTATAGCATCTGTCTGCACCCAACCTCGCTCTTGGCAGTGTTATCCATCTTACATATTCACAGTTACCAAACAGCAGACCAAACCAAAAGCACATTTGTTGCCATGTCTTTTGCACAAAAAATATACACAGGCCATCCCTTATGAGATCCAAGTCACTGGGTTGCAGCTTCAGCTACATTTACCTTTAGGTCAGACACATCCCTGTAGCACTGTTCAGAACGGGTATGGTCAGACAGTTGTACATTCCAGAAGCATGGAAGCTGGTAAACAAGGAATGGGTTCTGTTTGATGACTGCATTGAAGATATCCTGGCAGGCAAAAACAGAAACACAAACAGGTGCATTATTTCAGCAGACAGATGATCAATCACATCTCTCCGAACTGATTCTTGTCAGTCCTTTGCAGAGAGAGCAAATGATAGGGAAATTAGGGGGTTCTCGTATTAACCTGTCAGCACTGCAAAACTAGCTTCATCATTCTGCTTTAGATAAAGGGGCTAGAATCCCCAGGACTGACCTGTAGGTCTGAACTAAAGGAAAATAGATTCTTTTTCCATGCAGAATGCTAGTGATTTAACTGGGGTTTCAAAACAAGTATTTTATACCACTGTCAAAAATTGTTTTTCCCCCACCCTGGAGAGTACTATGTGGCAGATGGTGAACTGCCTGCTGCTCCTAAGTACAGCATCCAACTTCAGTAAAAGAAAGAAGAGTGATCCTGGCCGTTACTGTTCTTTATGATGAACTACCAGTATAATTTTATACTGCCAGCAAGTGCTCTAAGTGTTCCGCAGAAAACACATGCAAGACAAGGCTACAAAACAGCTTACTGTGTAAGTACCACTATGATCTGCTCTTATGAGGTTGTGCAGTGCGAGGAGAAAGATGGTCTCTGTAGGTAAGGTGTTAGAGCAGGAGTGGGCAATAATTTTTGAAGGAGGGCCACTTCACATATTTTGGAAGTGGCCTCAGGTGGACCCAGAAGGGCCAGGGCCTCAGGCGAAAGGGGCGGGATTGAAAGCTACCCTACCGGGAGTTTTGCTTGGCCTGGGGTCCCTGCCCCTTGATTTCTGACCAATGGAAGAGACCTGGAGCAGATGGGAGGATGCTGGGGGCTAGTCTCCTCCCAGAGTTGTCTGCGGTGGAGGCTTAGAATTCACATAACATGGCTGGCAGCTCCCAACCCTGCTGCTAACCTGTTGCCTGGCAGCTGCCCAGCAGAAACAAGCCCTTTGCATGGAAGCAGTTGAAAGGGCTTGTGCCTCCCGGGCAGTTCTCAGGCAACGGGCCAGTGGGACCAAGAGCTGCAAGCCCCTTCAATTGCTTCTGTTTAAAGGGCTTGTGCCTGCTGGGTGGCTGCCAGGCAACACAGCGGCCCAGTAAGCACGAGCCCTTTAAATAGAAGCAGTTGAAAGGGCTTGCGTGTCTCTAGCTCCCTAGCAACACACTAGCAGCGCCGGAGCTACGAGCCCTTTTAACTGATGCTATTTAAAGGGCTCTTGTGCTCCCCATGGCTACCAGGCACTGCCCAACAGGCACGAGGAAGGCGCAAGCCCTTTAAACAGAAGCAATTAAAAGATTAATTAAACCGCATCTCTGGTTCCCAAGCAACGTGCTAAGAGGCAGGGCCTGGAACTGCCTCGCGGGCCGGATCAAAAGCCCTAGGCAGGCCACATCCACCCCACTGAAAGGCTTTTGCCCACACCTGTGCTATGGTAAGAATCCAGGGATCTGCATTCAATTCCCACCTCTGCTACATACTCTCCATGTGATTTTAGGAAAGTCACTTATGATCTGATTCAAGTCCTACTGAAATGAGTGGAAGTCTTTTCTCAGACATTAATGGGCTTTGGATCAGCTCCTTAGTTTTTCCAGGCTCCAGTTCTCCATCAGTAAAATGGGGGGAAAGTCCCTCCTCATGTAACAGGGGTAGTGTGAGGTAAATGAATTAATTTTTATGGGGTGTTCATATTCTACAGCAAGGGTGGGCAATAAAAGGCTCATGGGCTGGATGTGGGTCACCAAGGTTAGCCCCTGGTGGGCCACCAGACACTTTATTTACCTACATATCTGCAGGTATGGCCACTCACAGCTCCCATTCGTTGGTGACTGCTGTTCCTGGCCAATGGGAGATGTGGGAAGTGGTTTCTCAGTTTGAGTCGCTTCCTGAAGCACCCATTGGCTGGGAACAGTGATCCACAGCCATGGGAGTTGTGAGCTGTGTTCCCTCTAAACTGTGGGGCACAGCTTCACAGGTGATGAATCAGCCCCACCCTCTGAGCCTCTGACAGGGCAGTGCTGATTTGGTAATCCACAATGGGTGTTTCAGATGTTTATGTGAATTAACCACACACTATTCAATTGTATATGGAAGGAATTTAGAGGGAACACTGGTTGTAAGTGGCTGTACCTGAGAACTTGCAAGTAAATAAAGTGTCTGGTGGCCCATCAAGGGCTAACCCTGGTGAACCGCATCTGGCCCACGGGCAGCCACTTAATTGCCCACCGTTGTTCTACAGGGATGCAGGTAACAGCAGTATCCAGAGCCTGACAATCAAAATTGCCATTTTCCAAAATGAAAAGGAGAAAAGCAGTAGAGAAAGAAACAGATTTTTTTAAGCTTCTAAAGTCTGAAGTCGTTCAAAGGAAGAATGAAAAGCTAAAGTAAAGGCCACAAAACAGGAAAAATCTCCAACTGTGTCTTTTTAAAAAGCATCTGTGCATCAGAAGTAAGAATTTCAGTCTGTAAACAGGAGTCTTATTGAGAAATCTGTATCCCCCACATTAAAAAATGTCCCCAGAATGACATGGCAATGAGTTCTGCCTGTTTAAAAGGACATGACAGGACATCTACCTATCTATCTTCCTCTCTCCCTCCTCATCTCCAATCCAAGAAGCAATGTTTGTAGCAGGTTTTCATAACTGTCTGCCCAACCCACCTGGTCAGCCAATGAGGTTGACAGCATGCTCATTAACTCTCTTTCAGCTGTAAGTCTCCACATCTGCTCCCATTTCATCTTTCGCAACTTATCCAGAAGTAGCAGGATAACCCCTAAAGAGACAACACAATGCAGGGAAACAGAAGGCATAATTTAACTTGCAAAGCAAGGACCGCCATGCCTAAGTGTTGCAATACTGCAGTCAAAAGAAGAACATTGTACAAAGACCAGAGTTGGAAGCTACCTCCAATCTGTACTTTTGATTGAAATCAGGATAAATATTTTCATGACATACTACTTACAGACATAAACTAGCACTAACAACTCTGATTTTGAAGGCGAATATATTACAGTGATTATTATTAAAGTAGTTTTCTATTACAGTGGTGCACAAAGGTTCCATTTGAGATTGTTACATCATTGTCCAGGGTGCCATACAAATATAGTAAAATAAGACGATGTCTATTCCAGCCTCAATAAGGACCAGACACAACAGTAGGTAATAGAACACCATGTGAACAGGTGAAGCTGAGCTTGAAATGCAGAGGAAAAACTGAGGGCCAATGAACAAAAGGAATTGGGTCTTCTCGACTCCAAAAAGGGACAGCTGGGTCAGAGGGTGGTGTTTGAGGGAGGGAGGGGAGCAGGAGAAGAGCTGGGAGTGAGAAAAGGTGTTGTAAATCCAGCAGGCCCTTTACATTGACACTGGAATTAACTCTGATTTCACTATGACTGGCCTGGACGCTAGGGTATTCCTGACAAACCGAACTGGTACCTCGGGTCACATTAAAGAGACTATTTTCCAAGTCAGCTTTTCTATTCCAAAAAGGCTTAGATGGAAAAATGTCTCTTGTGTCATTCAACCATGATCTCTACTGCAGTTGCTGTAAGGAGCGAAGTTATGGGCTCCATAGGGAGCCCTGTCAGATTACTTTCTGCCAGAGAAAGAGTGGTGACAATGAAGGTTCATAAGTACAGATGTATCTATTATCAGCCAGATTCTGCCATCCTTACTCACACTAAGCAGAAGATTACTCCTGGAAAGTCCCACTGACTTAAATGAGTTAAGATTGTGACAGGTTGCCCCCCCTAGGATGCCAGCTGATGTGCTGAGACACCACGGAGATGCCTGTTGTGGCAGCCTGGGCACTCTTTTATGTCTGTCTTGCTGAGCCAGGCAACATAGCCTCTTCCAGCACATACACAGGCAGAGCCACATCCAACTGCAGAATGACAAACACTGAGATCAGCTCTGGGAAGATTCAGTTTAAGGAACTTGCCCCAGCACGCAGGAGTCCACCTCCTTTGGAGTGCAGACCCAAAGGTACACTTTAAAAATCAGCCTTCTCCCTCAATGTGGAGGAAGACATGCACCGACTCTGCCCCTTCCCTCTCCCCACATTATGAACTGTACAAATGGAATTAACAAGAAATAAGTTTATTACCTATAAAAAGTGGATTTTAAGTGAGTAAAAGTTAGTAAACAGAACAAAGCAGATTACTAAACATATAAAACAAAGCACACAAACTAAACTTGATTCACCTAAGAAATTGGTTACAAATAGTAATTCCTCAGCTTAGATGTTGTTGCAGGCATGTAAGAAAGTCTCGAAAGGCAGCTTCACCGGCCAGCAGCTTGAGGCCTTAGATATTATTACTCTCAAGCTGTATGCCCTTCCAGCTTGGGCCCAGCTCTCTTCCCACAGTTCAGTTCTTGTTTCCAGGTTTTTCTCAGTGTCTCTTTGGGTGGGGAGGCAGAGGAGAAAAACATAATGAAGTCACTCCCCTGCCTTATAAAGATCTTTTGTAGGGAAGGAACCCTTTGTCTTTTAGCGGACAAATACTGGTATTCCAAAATGGGATGAGAGGTGTCCTATATCACATGACTCAGAGCCCTATTACTGCAGGGCTGTGGCAACCATTACTTGTAGATTATCCATAGGAAGACTAAGCTCTTTCACAGTCCACTGTCGTGGCTAATGGGCCATCAGCCCTATCTCACTTTTTCACTGTTGTAGCTGAACAGCTCATTGTGGGTGAAACCCAAAGTAGCACATTCAAAACACAGATACATGGTCAAAACTTCTAACTTCAGAGACAGAAATGATTCAGGCATACAGATTCGATAATCACAGTCAGTAATTCATAATCTAACCTCAGTTATGTCACATCCATATAATAATCATATTTTCCTAAAGAATATGGAGGGTAACATCATAGACACTTAAATCTGAACCCATTAAGGCCAATGGAAGTTTTGCCATTGACTTCAGTTGAACCAGGACATAACCCCTAAAGTGAAAAGTATTACTCGGTGTAAGTGCAGAAGAATCAGGCCCCATATATTCATTTGTATCACTTACAGCCAGATTATGAATCCCTTAGTCCGAGTGATGAGTAATTATTTACAGGAGCTGTCCCATCAACTTCAATGAGATCACTATTGTAAATAAGGGGAGTGATAATCCATCCCACTGCAGAGAAGCCTATCATGGTGGCAATGAACATTAAACAGCAAAAGTTGGGGGAGACAACAGGATCCTCAGGTCAGAAAGTTCTCCGGTTGTTTTGATTCTGGATAGAATTCTACTACTTGTAGATACAGGAAATGCAGTAGAAGCAATGCAGCTGGATTTAAGGAAAACCTTTAATACAACATCACACAAAACCTTACATGAAAAAATTAATTCACATGGATTTAGATAAGAACGCTGTCATGGGGAATGAAGACTGTCTGAAGGACCATAAACAAAGAATACCAATAAACGACAATGTATCATTTCGGTGGGAAGCATCTAGTGGGATCAGTGATAGGTTTTCACTGGTGTTTTGGAAGAGCGAATAAACAGAATATTAATGACATTTGTAAAATATACTAAATTGGAGGCCTTGGAAAAATTAGTACATCTAAATTATAACTAAGGGGGATTATAGCAACTGTTCTCAAATATCTGAAGAAACAAATACCAAACGGGAAGAAACAAATATTTGTGGAAGTCCAAGGGGATATAAGTAGAAGTAATGGGAAGAATTCAAGAAAAGGGAAATAAATGTAGGCTGAATACTAAGAATAACATTTTAGGACATTTGCTAGGGGGCATGTCAACCCAGCATTGGTACTGCAAGAGTAAACCCTGATCAATTAGCTGAGGATGCCTCCACCCTCTCACCTCTGCTGGGCATGCTCCAACTGGAGACCAGGTATGAAGGCCTACAGAGCAGCTCAGTCTGGGCTGGCTGTCAATGAAGGAGGGACTGCCTGCACGTACACTAGCATGCTGATGCCAGCCACGGGGAGACTGATGCAAACTTGCTGGCCCGGGACATTGCTGAATGGGGAGAGACTGAGGACTCAGAGCTAGAGAGACACAGAGAGTCACATAGGAAGTAACCCAGGGGAGTTTTGTGGGGAATGGTAGCCTTGCCAGAATCACTTGGTGTGTTTCAGTGGAAGCTTCTGTGAGCTGGTGCCTGGCAACCCCACCACCAACAGGGCCATGAGTCAGAACTTGGTGGAAAGGCTGGGGCCAGTTCCCTCTACCCTGACCACCACTGCTTCCCTAGGTAGTCAACCTGCATCCCATGCTATAGACTGTGGTCAGTAGGATGTGCCACTCTGCAAGACAAGGGTGTTATTACTGACTATAGCCACTAGGCCACACTGCCCAGCGAGAAAGGGGCATTGTTACTCACTATGGCCCCTACACTGAGCCGTCCTGTGAGAGAGAGGCATTGTTACTGACTCTGGTTACTAGGCCATGCTGCCCTGTAAAAACAAGGCTTTGCTATTGACTCTGACCATTAGGTTGCATTGCGCTAAGACTGAGGGGCTCTACTATGGACTCTGGCTACCCAGCCATGTTGTCCTGGTAGGCAGAACCATGAGGGAAGACGCTAACTATCAAGTCATATGGTGTTGAGCTGAACTGTGGGGCCATAGAGTATCTGGCCCCCACCTAGAGAAGGATGGGGGTATTAACCCCGCAACAAGATCCTATTAGTTTGTGAAATAATGTATCAGTGGAAGTGATAGAAGTCCCATTACTTGAGCCTTTTAAAATTAGAACAAAGCAGCAGCAAACATGGAGAGAACAATCCGATGCTGTCTAGCTATAGACACAAGGAGAACCTTATGGTCAGCAAAGTTAAAGACAATAAAAAAGTTATATGAGGAACATTGGTCCATTATTAGATGGAATTACTAGAATTACCAACAATAACGCAGAAAAGGCAGAAGTATTCAACAAATATTTCTATTCTGTATTTGAGGGAAAACAGATGCTGTAGTCAAATCACATGCTACCACTTTTTCCATTTCACTAATATCTTAGGAGAATGCAAAACAGCAGCTACTGAAATTAAACATTTTAAAGTCGGGGGTCTTCAAAACTTGTGTCCAACAGTTTTAAAAAGGCTGGCTGAGGAATTCAATGGACATTAATGTTGATTTTCAATGTGCCAGGGAAAATCAGAAAATTCCCAGAAGACAGAAATAAAACTATTATGCCAGTATAAAAAGGCTAAGCAAGGTGATCCAGCTAATTACAGGCCTGCAGTTTGACACTGATCCTGAGCAAGATAATGGAGTGGCTGATAAGGGACTTGACTAATACAAAATTAAATAACTAATGACAAAGAACATGTGTTTATGGAAAATAGATTCTGTCAGACTAACTCTATACTTTTTTATGAGATTACAAGTTTGATAAAGATATCACATGACATTTTGATTTAAAGAGACATCAAATAAACATGGTACGTATTAAATGAATTAAAAGATGACTAACTGGCAGATCTTGAAATGTAATGGTAGAAGGGGAATTACCATTGAAGAGACATGTTTCTAGTGGAGTCCTACAGGGATTGATTCATGGCCCTACATTACCTAACATTTTTATTAATGACTTGTAAGAAAACACAAAATCATCACTAACAAAATTTGTAAATGATGCAAAAATTGGGGCAACGAATAAATAACGAAGAGGACAAATCCTAGATACAGATCAATCGGGATCATTTGATAAACAGGGCACAAATAAACAATATGCATTTTATATGGTTAAAATAAATGTATGCAACTAGGAACAACGAATGTAGGTCATTTTTTTAGGATGGGGGACTCTATCCTGGGAAACAGTGATTCTGAAAGATTTGGGGCAGAGGAGGGCACCATCAGTTGAATATAAGCTCCCATTGTGATGCCGTGGACAAATGGGCTAATGTCACCCATGCAGGCAAAAACAGGGAAACAATTAAGAGAAAATTTTACCTCCCAATTTCCCATTGATGTGACTGCTGCTGAATACTGTGCCCAGCTCTGAGGTCTACAATTCAAGAAGGATGTTGATAAATTGGAGAGGATTCAGAGAAGAGCTGTGGGAGTGATTAAGGGATTAGAAAACATGCCTGACAGTGATAGCCTCAAAGAGCTCCATCTATATAGTGTACTTAAGAGAAGAATAATGGGATGACTTGATTACAGTCTATAAATACCTACCTGGGGACCAGATATTTAAAATGGGCTCTTCAAATGAGCAGAGAGAGATATAAAACTATCCAATGGTTGGAAATTGAAGTTAGACAAATTCAGGTTCATGGTGGATTCTGTATCACTGACAATTTATAAATCTAGACTGGATGTTTTCCCTAAAAGATCTGATTTAGAAATTATTTTGGGGATACTCCATGATCTGTTTTATACAGAAGGTCAAATTAGGTGATTATAACAGTCCACTCTGGACTTAGACCTATGAATCTATGACTACATGAGGTGGTAAGTGTTCTAGCTCCACCTTCTCTGGCTTGGATTGTCTATATTGTAAAACATCATGTTCAAAAGGCAAAACTTTTCAGAAATGAAAAGAAAACAGTAGAACTACTAACCCCAAATTGGGAGGAAACTGCCACATGTCTGAATCTGATTAAAATTTGAGACTTGAAATATTTTGCTGCCTTGTGAATTGTGCTAAAGGAAAAATACATTCTGGCAGTGTAGTCTGTGGCCTAGATTAGAGCTGTTCTCCACTTCAGCCCATCTGGTTCCCAAGCACACTGGAGCCTTTCCTGGAGGAATCCTCTTTTAGCATCTATCTGCCTTTCTGCTGCAAGGGGTTATATTGGATATGGACACATTGCCACAACACATTTTTGCCAAACTGCTTGTTTTCTATCCAATATAACTGATTTTTTTTTTTGTTCCAAGCAGATATGTGAGCACTGATCTGGAAACAGAACTTGAATCCTATCTGGAGTTTGCATCCACTGCATGTTTGTTTTTGCGTGTATTATTGTGCATTGGCCAAGACTGAAGGTCACCAGACAGCACATTCTTCTCACTGCAGCCGCAGATTAGGTGAGAATAACCTCCTATCCTGTGGTAGGTTATTTCCAGATGGCAAGAACTGTCACCTTTGGTTTAACAATGTAATATACCTAAGGCAATGAACTATCCATTTATTTATTTATTTTTTCAATTAATTCTGCTACCATTGCAAAATGTGTTTTACATTTTATCTCTAGAGCTATCTATCTATACTGCTAAATTTTCCTAATACATTTTCTTTAGAAACTCAATCTGGAGATGGATGGGGAAAACACTTATTCTCCATTTATTCACCGTCTCCCAGTCTCCTGTCAGGCAGTTATCTTACGGTGATACAACTACAGAGATTATGAGTTCCTGAGAGGCAAAAGCTGCAGGGAAGTGTGTCTATGGGAGAAACCTGAATAGATGCAAAGGTATACAAATTTTGATTCAATGCAGCACAAGAAACATAGTCACACCTTTTAAACATAATGGTATTTAGGTTTCTGAATTCTAATTTACCTAAAGGTTTGGTTTAACACATTGATACAATCACCATTTAAGACAGTGTAATTTACTGTCACTGTAAAAATAAAGGGGAATATTTATATCAGTTTAAACTCATGTTCATGAAAGAGATGCAATTCTCATTAGTATTTGTGAGAATAAGGGATTTGCATTGAGGGGAAGTTAATACAATTCACTGAATATATCTTACTTAGTGTGAAAGCAAAAATTAATGTGAGTAGGAAACTTTTTAAATGATAATGCAAAAGATTAGTGCTTTTTCTTTAGAATTCAGTGCATTTTTGTAAAGTTCTTCATTGCTAAAGGACACAAAATCACTGTCCCAGCATCCTGTAAATCTGAACTAGCTTTGTTTGACACTAAGGTCTTGCCTACACTTGCTGGGAGACTGGTCCTGCGGGAATGGGGGAGGGCTCAGATTTACTCTTGCCTGCTGTGCTGGGGGAGGAAGAGATGAGGACCCTCCTTCACCCAGAGGAATCTTTCAGGATTGGCTCCAGTTATGGAGTTTTCCATCTTTACATGAGACTGTATCATGCTCTTTTCCCCACACTCCCAAACAAAAGCAGCATGAAAAGTCCAGAAGAAAGTAAACAAAGAGAAAAGGGCAATCCCAACTGGCTTATGACTATTAGCTGGGCTATGATTAAACACAGAATGCGTTACTATAAAAAATAAGTTAAGACATATATTACGAGGCTGGGAATGCCTTGAAGAAATCCTTTAAAATCATACTGATTCTGGGATCATTCTCTTTCTTTTGGGCTTTAATATTTCTGTGTTTCTCCTCCCTTATTACTAAGAACCACTGACATGATAACAGACTCCTTGCTTCTTAGAAGTTCACTCACACTTTCTGCTCCATGGGTTTCAGCCAGGGCTATTTGAAGTGTTACAATCTCTGAGTAGATGCAGTAGGGCCTGAGGGCTAGGAGGAAGGCCCCCTTTGGTTTACACTACCAAAATTCAAAGTGCTGAACACTTTACTATTTTGCAGAAGAGAGGGGTTTTATTCTTGTTGTTTTATTTAACTTGGTAACAGGCAGGAAGTTTTCCTGCCTGACTGTTTAATCTAAAATCTCCTGTTGACTCTATACTACATTCATAGTTGATCAGCAAAATAAAACAGTCTTGTATTTTGCCATTTTCAGAAAATACTGAGTCAGAGACAGAATGAAATGAACCCCATCTTTAATTTTTCTGGGGTTTGTAAAGTTCATGAAGGACAAACTTCAGACCAGGGATCTCTGGGGAGCCATGTACTTATTTCCAATCTTAAAACCTTAGCCCTCTGTTTACAGAGCTATTTGCACTTACCCTCTTCTTCTGCCATCAATTCCATTAATTACTGCAACATCGGAATGAAAGGGTGGAATGTAGGGTATGGCAGATGAGGCAAGAAAGGGAAAACAGAAATGACTATCCTTCTGTCCCCCATCATAGGGATACTAGCTATCACATGCATTTTCCTTCTGAACAGGACATCATAAGTGCTTGTCGAGATGCTTCCAGCCTGAGCTGAGTGAAAACTGGAGGTTTTGTCTCAGGAAATTCAGATAGGTCAACTTCTGGTTTTGTCGCACACCAAAAATAAAACTTGAAATTTAGAATTGTTTTGCAGAACCAAAATTCTGAAAAAAAACTACCAGTTTGGAAATGTTGAAACACTTCTGCATTTTACAACTGGAATGCACTGTCTCATGAGAGCTGTATTGCAGGAGTCTGTTGTCCCCAGTCTTCTCTGTGAGCCAGGTTCCCTGACTTAATTACATCTAAAGAGTACGACCCACGCAGAGTATATGGCTTCTCATGCACTAACCAGAGTGTGGTTAGAGATTAAACTGTATTTCCTTATGAGCGCACTGCATTGTGGGAAATGCAATCCTCCAGGGAGCTCAGCCCATAGGAGAGAATGGAGCCCCATATAACAGTTCCCCAATAGGGTAATACAGTTCAATGTTTTAATGAACAGGTGTGAAATAAAATGTTTCAGGACAGTTCAGCAAAATGAAATATTTTGATTTAGATTGAATTTACATGATTTTCCACTGGAAAACTTTGATTTTGCAGAAACTTATTTTCCCATCAGAAAGTAATTCAGACAGGAAATTCTTGACCAGCATTCCCTTAATCCTATGGAACATGGGAATTTTTATTGAAATTCACAAAGGAACGTGAATATAGGAAGTTACAAAATAGCAATTTAACAAGGGAAACAAATTCAATCCATTAAAGTTGTTTTTTTAAGGCAGGTACAAAAACATTTAGTATAGAGTAAAGAAAGTTTAGCAGTACACGAAGTATTTAAAACAACGAGCAGTCCTGTGGCACCATAGAGACTTAACAAATATATTGTATCATGAGATTTGTGGGTAAAACCTACTTCTAATCAGATGAGTTGTGAGTGTGATGCTGCCTCTTTTCTTTAAGAAAGTCCAAAGTGCTTTTGTGAACTGTTTAGGAGATAGTAAAATATGTGAAGAGCATCTCAAAAAACATCTATTTTAGGTATTTATATAGTACCTATTGTCATATTGTGCAAGAACTGAATCCCTAAACCAGTATAGTACCTGACAGAGATAGGCAAGGACTCACTTTAAAATATATTATAAAGCATCAGCCAGATTTAAAAATTAATTGAGATGTTACAATACATGACAAGTCTGGCAATGACCAATCCAAAGTGTGGTGAGGAGTCATGTGTCACTCATAGATTGGCCTGGTGAAAATGTAGACTAAGCTTTTAGACTCAGCGGACTATGCGGCTTGTAGTTGAGATATCTCAGGAGAAACAGGAGCAGGAAGGAAATGTGACACAGAGAATGATATTTCCTCCCTTGTTCCAAGGAGGAGGAATTTCCCTCTTTTATATAATTTGGCATGCAGCTCCCTTTTATCCTAACTGAAAGTAAGGTCAGGGTTTGGCTGAGCCAGGAAAATGGGAAGTCCCTGGATTGGGGCAGTTTTCCATAACATGGAAAGGGAGGGGGAAGAGATGCAATATTCACAGTGGCCACTAGGGGCAGCATGTACAGGGGAAAGCTAAACTGGAGAATGATCACTGGTGGCAGCTGCACCACCAAGAGAATGGCCAGCTGGAACTCTGGCAGATGGAAGCTGCCACCCTGAGTTCCACCCTACCCTCAATCCTCACATCCCCAGTCCCCTGCCCTGAGCCCCTCCTGCATCCCTCACACTGCCAGTCCCCAGCCTTGAAGGACCTGGGCAATGGTGCATAAGTCTTCTTTGTTGTATTGTAAGATGGTGATGAGTGGTAAACAACAACAAGGAGTACAGGTCACCAGTAATACATGATCTAGTTCATTTGGTAAACTGGGTGAAAGCAAACACTATGAATTTCAATACAGCTAAATGTAAATCTTTACATCTAGGGACAAAAAATGCAGGCCATACTTATGCATTGTGGGGCTCTCCCTGGGAAGCAGTGATTCTGAAAGATTTAGGGTTCATGGGACATAATCACTTGACAATGAGCTGCTCTCGCTGTGGCACTGTGGCCAAACAGGCTAATACAAACCTTGGATGTATAAACTGGGACATCTCAAGAAGTAGTAGAGAGGTGATCTTACCTCTGTATTTGGTACTGCTGAAACAGCTGCTGGAATGCTATGTTCGGTTCTGGTGTCCACAATTCAAGAAGAATGTTGATAATTAAAGAGAGCTCAGAGAAAGGCCATGAGAATGATTAAAGGATTAGAAAATATGCCGTATAATGATAGACTCAAGGAGCTCAATCTATTTAAGCTTAACAAAAAGAAGGATAATGGGTGGCTTGATTATCGTCTCTAAGTACTTAGAGAGGAAACAAATATTTAATAATAGGCACTTCACTCTAGCAGAAAAAGGTATAGCATAATCCAGTGGTTGCTAGACAAATGGAGACTGGAGATATGGCATACATTTTTCACAGTGGCAGTAATTAACCACTGAAATGTTATATCAAGGATTGTGGAGTCTCCTTCACTGACAACTTTCAAATCAAGGGCTAATGGGATCCTGCCCTAGGAACTGTCCTGGGGCAGTTTGATGGCTTATGTTACACAGGAGGTTCTACCAGATCTGGGGTTTTTGTCACTAGCTGGCCATGAGATGCTTTGCTTACCTGTGCCTCCGCATCTACAGGCGATCACAGTTCCCATTGGCCACAGACCACCATTCCCGACTAATGGGAACTGTGGGAAGCAGTACAAACTCACATACTTTCTGGCCTTGCAATCTATGAGGTCATGGCATAAATAACAAATTGTACCTTTAGGTGATATGGAATCTTCTAGGTTAGAAAAAACATTGAGATTCTTATTCACAACAAATTTTGAAGTTAAGCAACACAAAATTCTGCACACAATAAAATGTTTACATATACATACACACATAAACACATATGCATAAACTTATTCATTGTGATGGGAAGCCTCCAGGCAATATCATAATACAAATAATAAATAGTAACACTAACAAATAGGTCGATATATTAAATTAGAAGCCCATGAAATTCAGAGTTTAAGATACACAGACACGCATTAAAATAGCCACCACAAACATAACTCTGCCCCAGTTGGGATGTAAGAATGTATATAAAGTTTGAGATTTAGAAATCGCTGCATAGTTTCAATAGTTCATCTTAAGGAAGTCCTGTGGGCAGTTGGGTATCATTAAGTGAAAGATACCAGTTCAGAGAGTGATGGTGAAATTGCTGACTTGATTTATGGACCTTTCTAACTTGTGATTGTAACATTCTAGCCTGGAAATAATTGGGAATTGTTTTAGATTGTTAAAACAATGATAAATGTGAATGTGCTTTTTAATACTTAGCAAGTGAAAGATTGGCACAATAAATACATTTCTTGATGCATCACTTAGCCAGGCATTTTATGTACACAACCCTTGGGTTTTTAAAAAGCCTTTAATAATGTATGTCACCTAAAGATCAGCAATTGTGTGTAATTTGCTAAATAAGAATACACAATGCATCCACATTTGAATGTGTCTCTCTTTAAAAAGCAGCAGAGTAAAAAATCTGTTTTGAACTGAAAAGTG